CGGCATGGGCACCGCGTCAGGAGCCGCCGCCTACACTCGACTGCTCATGGGCGGAGCAGCCCCCGTCTCCTGTGGCACGACGCACGACGGTCACGAACACCTGGCGAGGTGTATCCCAAACCGTACACAAAATCCCCTGGAATCGTTCTGACAACTGATTCAAGGCAGTTGCCATGACACTTTCAAGGCGTGACAAGTCGTCGTGCTTTGCGCGGCATACCGATGCGTGTTGCAGTCGAGCGTCTTGTTACAGGGCTTGCGGCAGGACCAGGCCTTGCTGCCGCACCGTCGCGTGTCGGGGCCGGACGCGCCGCAGTAGCAGCGCGTCTTCACGGTCACCGGGCACGGTGGACATGGACCTGAAGCACAGCACGAGTTAAGACAGGGACGAAAACGGGACGGAAACACGAGCCGAGCCGAGGCATGGCCGGGCACGGCACTGAAAGACGGCAGGGCAAAGGAAAGACGGCAAGGACGTGACTGGTTAGGGTGGACGGCCCGTCACTGGCAGAGCGTAGCAGGCCGCAGCGCGAACAGCTCCAGGTTATATGGAACCACGCACCTAGTGCCCATGGTGCACGGACCAGGATCCAGCTGCCGCAAACGATCTCGTAGGTAATACATCACCGAGCCACACGCCACTACCGCGGATCAACGCGCACGCCGATCAGTACTGGGCAGTACCGCGCCTCACCAGTTCATGACTCATCCCAGAGCGTCGCGCGCCGCTCGGGCGCCACTCGCCCGGAGGCTGCGTGGCGGCGCGGCGCCCAGCCCGCCCGCGGACGCCGCGTACCCGGGTGGCAATGGAGCAGGCAGGTGTGGCCGCAGTCGGGCCGCAGCGGCCGCTCGCAGCGCTGTTCGCAGGCGTGCGGCAGCAGCCACGGGTCCAGCGGAGGGTTGACCTGCTTGCCGCAGTAGCAGAGGTAGCGGCTCGGGATCTCCGCGCGGCCGTACGAGCACCGGCAGTTGGGGCTGCGCGCGGCGGGCGCACACCAGGTCACGGTGCAATAGCGGCGCCACCACGGAACGCACCAGCCTTACTCAGGTCTTCGAAATCGGCGATGCAAATGAGGTAAATTTGCCTGCATCAGCCTACTGCAGCATTAGCCGAAGCTGATATACGTAGGACAAAATGACGCACATGAACGGATGTACAACGGATGGATGTACACCGATGTACATGATGCCAGACACAATGCACATCCACGCTGGGCAATACAATATGACCCCATGCCTGATCCTTTGGTGCGGCACAGTAACAGAGAGAATGCGCATGCCACGGTGCCGTCGACTCAGCGCCGGCTCTCAGGAAGCCGTACCATTTCCAATCTAGCTGGGCGGCCTTGGCGTCGCCGTCCTCCAGGCGGAGCTCCTGCTGACTGAGGCTGTCCCGGGCCCACGTCTGCACGCACGCCAGGTGAAAGCCCACGTAGCACCCGGAGCAGCACCACACCTACCGGCACGACCGCGCTACGTCGGGACATGGTGGGGACGTCAGCGGGAGCTTCGGGGCGCGCGCTCAGCCGTGGCCAGTACGCATCCTCCGGTCAGCGCATCGGCGGGGTATGCATGGTAAGAGGCATGCACGGTAAGGTATGCTCACATGACCAGGCCAGCCAGCATGCTCTTGTCAAGACCCATCCCAGGGACTACACAGAAAGCGACAATTTTCGGAAGTTGACGGGTTTTGTGATCACTGACCATTCATGTCCTGAATAAACACAGCTCATTCTCCAGGAGGTTGAGGATAAGTTTTAAATAAAGTTCAATCGTATACAGCGTGTACACACAGCACGCACGGCGCACGTGATATCAATAAATGCTCTACACTTGTTGCCTTCGGACACGTGAGCCGCTGTCACGCTCACTCCACGCGTTGCTCCATTGTAGGCGTGCTCTTCTCACCGCGTCTGCGCGCTTGACAGTGCCGATACAGATGAGGCACGTGCTGGCGTCAGCGTTCAGGGCCCGCTGCAGATACTCGGACGTGTTTCCCAGCGCGTCTTTCCCAGTAAACTGATTGCAGACTTTGCCTGAAAATACAACAATCTTGACATGCTATGGGTCCATTTCCGAAAACATATGTGCATGATCACCACCAGTCTTTTAACAAATTTCTCGTCGGTGATATTCGAAGTCCACGACCAACGCAAAATAGTGCATAGCGGCGCTCTAAATGCAACATTCAAAACGCGGCGTTCGCTCACCGAGAATGCGGTCCCGGGTGTCATCGTCCACGTCGTCCCACTCCTCCTCCGAGTCGGAGAGCTCGTACTGCGCCACGTGCTTCTCGGAGGCGGCCCGGATCTCGGCGCACGCCTCGGCGAACCGCCGCTCCGTCTGCGCCTGACTGACCTCCGGCGCCGCGGCGCCAGGCTTGCCCCGACCCACCGACAGCTTGCCCCGCCCAGCTGCTGGCTTGCCCCGCCCCACTGCTGGCTGGCCAGCGCCGCCCCAGGCTGGAGCAGCGCGGGCGCGACCAGCACCTCGTCCCGGCATTATCTGTGGGTGGCCAATGCATGTAGCTGGTCATAACAGGGTAGGCAAAGATGGCCAATCAATACACCAATGATCTTTACTGGAAAGGTGATTAGGAGTATAAGACAATGTTAAGATTAGGCACACATGAAGGTACTTAAGTGATGCCAAGAGCAGCTCATTTCACCATCCCTGATATGGTGATCTTGAACTAGTAAGGAAGCTGAAATGGTGCATATTTGAAACTGAAAACCATTGGCATCTTTTTCTCCATGATAGCTAAAACAAGTTTCCAAAAATTATGCATATGCACAATAAAACTGAGTTCACTACATAAAAGCTGTGTTACAATAATGACCCAGGAACTCTGACCAAAATAGGGCAAAATACATAAAACTGTCAGATGGATAAATAAGGGAACATTAAAAATATAGATCTGTTTTGTATTAGTGCTGTGGTAATGCCATCACAAGCTTCTAATTCCAAAATACTTAATGACAGGCCCATGTCCAGTTCACGAGTCACTGTATGGTCATAGTGATAATGTATTTTAGCAGGTAAAATGTGTGGGTTGGAAAATAAGTCAATTAAGGAGTTAGACACCAGTTATGCTTTAAGGAAACTGGACACAAATATCAAGTTTTAAATTGATTAATCTGAAATGGCAGCTGGAATAGGTATCAGCACTCTTTTGTCCATGGAATATAAAAGTCATCTACCAATAATCACTAAGCTGAGCCAACTATGGTACCAAGGTACTGGTTTTCCATCTGGCCAAGCAGGCATGAAAGTGAAAATATATCTTCTAATTGACTATTCAAAGAGTGACAGTCAAGGCTCAGTGACCACACAGCTGTATAGAAGTGATGCCAGAGACGGCAGTCCCCCACTTTGCTGAACAATATATTTTTCCTTTCAACTCTGGGGAAGACGAAGATGCACCCATATGGCACAGCATGTTACAAAATATAGTTTAAATTCATAATAATCAATCTGCATTCTTCATGAGTTTGTGTGAACTCTACCTCTATGGGTTTTAGTATCAGTAAACAGTAATTTTTGTATCTATCCCTGCAATTGCTGGAAATACCTGCTTTTCTAAAATGCAAAACATGTAGGTCAACAAGTGATTCACATGTAGGTAGGTACATACATGACCAGACCCAGCTGAACAACCATCAGCTATCACTTTCCATGCAGGTTGTACCAGAAGATAATCAGTAAGAAATAGCTCAGCAATAATGTGAAGTGGGTCTCTATTTTCAACAGTTGGCTAGTATTGAACTTCAATGCCATCCAGTTGTCGAATGAAAGAAAACATTCTTATCAATCTTCATACAAAGGTAAAGCCAGATCTACCACCAAACCACTGAGAAAATCATTTATATTACATACATCCCCATACACACATCCCCATGAATCCATGCAAATATCCATGTCTTGTCTCATGGAATGTAATTCGGCAGTGTGAACAGAACATAATAAGCATACTGGACAAATTGCAGCCTGGAAAACCCAGTATTGGAAAAGGCAGCCCTGCCTACCCCCATAATACCTCTATTAGCCCATCTGGATCAATCCCTGCATATCTGCCGTGTGCGTTACGCCGATTTCAGCATTGAACCCATCGGTTAAAACGCGGTATTTGCGAATATATTACATACCAAGAATATTCACCAGCTTAGGACCCTCTTCACAGCATATTTTTACATCTCGACGGCGAAAGCGCACGAGCCGGATAAGCACAATAAGAGCACGCCCCAAATGCCTAGACCAAAAGCTCCACAGCTACAACAAACTTGCACAAATTAGTGGCATGTTTCCTTTCCAGTTATTAGTACCGATTCATACTGGTCGTTTTTTGGAGCTTATTATATCAGAACAAAATATTCAACAAAATAACAGAAGTGTCAAAAATTTTCAGTACCTAGTATTATTTGAATTATTCAAGGTAAAATAGTGTATTGAATCTTCCCCTAACTTGTTATAAAGGGAATATAGCCGGTTCTACTTTAGATTGCACTGAAGTGACATTACTAATATTGCTACGTGGATGGCAGTGATGCGTCACTATTGTCTTGGTGGATTAAGATTTGTACGGCATTATTTGGATTGGGTGTTGTTGGGCGTGTTGTGAAGCGGTTGCCGGTAAGGTAAGTGTCCTGTGTTAGTGATTTCATAATTTTATTGACGAGGAGCAAAAACAGCCGGTAAGTGTGCATTGTGTAATTTTTATTTGGGGTGATAGGAGGTTTCGTGTTGGGATGATATAGAACAACAATAAGTGAGCGGTGCCTAAGCAAACAGCTGTAGGCCGTGAGGACTCATTGTCTGAAACTTGGATGTTTCTTGGTGTTTTTAGCCCCTAGACATTTTGTTCTCCACAAATATACACTGGAAAGAATGTCAAAAAATTGTTCTCTGTGACCGATGTCAGATGGAGGCAAGCTGCTCGTGCAACTTCGACAGCATCGCACGCCACATTCACGATTGAACGAGGGACACTGCTTGCGGGTTACGGCCGAATCTCTCGACCATGTCATTAAGAACTTTTCCTTGCAATGCATTCAGTACCCAGGAAAATTAGCAGCTACTGCATCTACTCATAGACAGTGAGTTTGATTATGCTTTCCTCAGTGTATGGCACTGATCTGGGTTTGTTTATGGTCTTTATCTATAGCTCCTACACATCCCACTGCCACCAGCTGAATGTGATTGAAAGACGCTGTTGTCCCCATGGTTTTTAGATAAATGTCAAAGATTCAGCATGTTAAATGATGTAGAAGTAGGGCACAGTGGAGCAGTTGTCAATGGTAGTCATTTTCTATAGCAGTTTCATCAGCTTTTAGATTGCTTTCCTAGGCTCCTAATGATTTTTTCAGAAAATGTCCATTGACCAAGCTTTGGCTCAAATATAAAATGTATTTTGAAAGCACACCTTGTTATTTCAATTAGCACTCAATAGACCTACCCACCTGAGAACAAGAAGCATCTTTGAAACTGTGCTCACAGGGTCATTGAGTAGCACCACTGTAGATAGATGGGAAGATAAGCTTTTAGCTGTTAAGCTTTATGTCTTCATCTAAAATTAAGCTTTTATTCTATGTAGTTTTTGTGTGTCTCTGCTTTATATTTGGGCAATATTTGTAGGTGGGAAAATGTGTCTTCTGTCCAATGCTAAATACTATCTGAGAACTAGAGGTGTAGGCTAGGTTATTTGCACCAAAAATTTGCTTGCATAAATGAATTGGTGAATATGACAAAAAATTCACCTTAATACCTATCCTGTATTATGCACATTCATCTGAAGGTGATGGCTACCTGCCCAGCTAAAATATTACAAAAAGGTTGTAAAAATTTGGATAGCTACGTAGTTTACTCATAATTTCATGTTGATTTGTATCAGCAGCATCTGAGACAGTGAAGGCTGCAGAGCCAACAATGTGTTCCAGCATTTTCCTTTTGACGTGCATCAGTTTCACAATGAAAGCATCATCGCTATTTTTCATGGCATCTTATGGTTGTATCTTTCATATGGGATTGCTTTTCTTTCATAATTGTTGGACACCCTCAAATGACCCAGAGCGCAGTTTCATCAGTCAAAAATTCATCAGGTAAAATGTCCAGGATGTAAATGTAGATTCATGCCACCACAATCATGGTTCTCCGGCAGTCTCCACAGCCTGCGTGTACATGATCCATTGGTGCTAATTGGTTGCCCTTTGACTCTGAACCCAGCCATCTGACTAGTCCAGCTTATTTGTCAAGCCTGGGGCACTTAATTATTCAATGCTGGGTTGACTGCTGCCTGGTTTGATGTTGATTGCAGATTTTGAGTAAGGGGATGAGCAACAGGTAATAAATCCCAAAACCAGGGATGTAACAGCATGCAAAATATTGACATCTTCTACCCAAGTGGTCAAATGTTGAAACACTGCACAATGCTAGCAAAGCAATGGATTTGGTTTTGCAGCAGATATATCATCACAACTGTGCACCGTTTGCAGCAGGAGTCATGGCGACAGAGCAGCCCTGCTACACGCTGATTGCCTCACCATCTGATGTTGAACAGCCCAGTGAACAGCAGTTGAAGGCTGACCTAGGTGAGTGCCCTGTAATTTTGTGTGGAAAATGTTTGACATCAACACTTGTCCTGTTTTTAAAACACTTGCAATGTGGGGCATTTAAAACTGCTTGACATAGCAGCAAAGTTCTTTGTGACATTCGTACTGATGCTTGTGTGTGGAAAAGTGAAGGCTTTCTTTCTCATTTCAGAAAAGGGTGACATTCGAACCAAGACGGATGCACTGAAGAAATGCATTCACGCCATCCTCTCGGGCGAGAAGATACCTGGGATCCTCATGACGGTGATCCGCTTTGTGCTGCCACTGCAAGACCACACCATCAAGAAGCTGCTGCTGATTTTCTGGGAGATCGTGCCCAAAACCCTGCCAGATGGCAAACTGATGCAGGAGATGATCCTGGTGTGCGACGCGTACCGTAAGGTGGGTACAGGAAAGTCTCGGCGGACGGCAATCACTTGATGCAAGGTATTAAGCAGCAGCAGCGTCTGCCCTGGACATATGAAGTGTCATGGCCTGCCAAATGTCCGCCTCCAATTTTGAAAGCCAGGGCTATTCCCGGTTGTGAGTGGCCTGCTACTATGCTGGTGTCCTGCGCTGACGGACTCCGATTGGCTGGTTCCCGGCGGTGACGGTCGCCGATTGGCTGGTGTCCCACGCGGGCGGACGCCGATTGGCTGGTGTCCCCCACTGCGGACGCCAATTGGCAGGTGTCCCCCGCTGCGGACGCCCATTGCCTTGTATCCCGCGCCGACGGACGTTGCTTGACCCGTCAGGACCTACAACATCCGAACGAGTACATCCGTGGCTCGACGCTGCGCTTCCTGTGCAAGCTGAAGGAGCCCGAGTTGCTGGAGCCGCTGATGCCGGCCATCCAGGCCTGCCTGGAGCACCGACACTCTTACGTGCGCCGCAACGCCGTCATGGCCATCTTCACCATCTACAGGTGGGCGTCGCTCCGGTCTAATGTGGAGGCAGCTGCTGTCCGGGAGCTACTCCGGGAGGGGGAGCGGCTGTCCGGGTGTGGACTTTGCCGGTACAAATGCTGCCTGTGTGCTCCGAATGTTATGCTTTGCTGGTGTTATGCACTGTACCTGTTGCCTTATGGACATGGAGGAGGGGGCACTGCATTCGTTGTCAATAGTTGCAGAGCCCAAGTGCAGAATAATTGTTTGGAGTCTGTCACATGGTAATATATTCGCACTGCTGCAGCCTTACAATCCTTAACCAGCTTCGGTTGTTATTCCGGCCGCCGTCTGAACGCTGCTCCGTCTGACCAACTGCTCCATCTGACATCTGCTCCGTCTCACTGCTGCCCCGTCTCACTGCTGCCCTGTCTCACCACTGCCCCATCTCACTGCTGCCCTATCTCATTGCTGCTCAGTCTCACTGCTTCCCCATCTCACTGCTGCCCTGTCTCACCACTGCTCAATCTCACCGCTGCTCCATCTCACCTTGGTCCCATCTCACCACTGCTCCATCTCATTTCTGCCTCATCTCACCTCTGTTCTGTCTCACCACTGCTCCACTTCACTGCTGCTCAGCCTCACTGCTGCCCCATCTCACCGCTGCTCTGTCTGACCACATGCTCCGTCTCACCTCCGTCCCGTTCTACCGCTGCTCCGTCTGACCGCCTGTGCCGCCTCTGCCGGCAGGAACTTCGACTTCCTGATCCCGGACGCGCCGGAGCTGATCGCCAGCTTCCTGGAGGGCGAGCAGGACATGTCGTGCCGGCGGAACGCCTTCATGATGCTGATCCACGCCGACCAGGACCGCGCGCTCGCCTACCTCTCCTCCTGCATCGAGCAGGTCAACACGTTCGGCGACATCCTGCAGCTGGTGATCGTCGAGCTCATCTATAAGGTGCGCCGCCACTGCTGCGCTGCTGGGCCCATACGCAGTCTGGCGTGTGGCTCTCGAATGACATGGTGATAGGTTTGTATTGCACTGGCCAAGGCCAGTCTGAAACTCCATGCTCTGAGTTCGCTTAGCTTTCTGTGCCCGGTATCGCGGAGAAGCGGTGGTGACTGTTGCTGCGTAGGCTGTATTGTGATAGCTCGGGTTGTATTGTGGTGGCTGTGGCGCACGACACCGCTGACAGTGGTGTGCCGGCGGACAGGTGTGCCACGCCAACCCGTCGGAGCGCTCCCGGTTCATCCGCTGCATCTACAACCTGCTGAACTCGAGCAGCGCCGCCGTCCGGTACGAGGCGGCCGGCACGCTGGTGACGCTCAGCTCGGCCCCCACCGCCGTCCGGGTCAGTACTGCCACCCTCCCGCCGCCGTCCGGGTCAGTACCGTCGCCCCCCCCCCTCCCCCCACCCCACCCCCACCACCGTCCGGGTCAGTGCCGGTGCCCTCCCACCACCGTCCGGGTCAGTACCGGTGCCCTCCCACCACCGTCCGGGTCAGCACTGTCACCCTCCCGCCGCCGTCCGGGTCAGTACTGCCACCCTCCCACCACCGTCCGGGTCAGTACCGTCACCCTCCCGCCGCCGTCCGGGTCAGTACCGTCACCCTCCCGCCGCCGTCCGGGTCAGTACCGTCACCCTCCCGCCGCCGTCCGGGTCAGTACTGCCACCCTCCCGCCGCCGTCCGGGTCAGTACTGCCACCCTCCCGCCGCCGTCCGGGTCAGTACTGCCACCCTCCCACCACCGTCCGGGTCAGCACTGTCACCCTCCCGCCGCCGTCCGGGTCAGTACTGCCACCCTCCCGCCGCCGTCCGGGTCAGTACCGTCACCCTCCTGCCGCCGTCCGGGTCAGTACTGTCGCCCTCCCACCGTCGTCCGGGTCAGTACCGTCACCCTCCCACCGCCGTCCGGGTCAGTACCGTCACCCTCCCGCCGCCGTTCGGATCAGTACCGTCACCCTCCCGCCGCCGTCCGGGTCAGTACCGTCGCCGCCGTCCGGATCAGTACCGTCACCCTCACGTGCCAGCGCGCCCGTCGCACGATCTGTGCCCCGAACTCGTGTCCGCACTCACTGACATGCAGCGTAGTGTCTGTTCGTATTTAGCTTTGCGGCAGTCTTAAGCCGAGGGCCGTGAGGGTTTGCGTTTGGGAAATATTGAAACGGGTACTGCTGGATCACGCTAGCCTCCCAGCCGGAGCTACTGTGCTACGACCGCAGACTAGCAAACATACCAGGCTGACGTACTAGACTAGGAGTCATAGGCAGCAGACTCTCAGACCCAAGCAGTAATGCGGGCTCTGGAGTGAACAGTCCCGCTGTCCGTCCTGATGGCGCGCGTTCTCGGTTGTCCGTCAGGCCGCGGCCACCACGTACATCGAGATCATCCTGAAGGAGTCGGACAACAACGTGCAAGCTGATCGTGCTGGACCGGCTGGTGGCGCTCAAGGAGCACCCCAGTCATGAGCGCGTGCTGCAGGAGCTGGTGATGGACATCTTGCGCATCCTGGCCACGCCGGATCTGGAGGTGGGCGGGCGAACGGCTGGCCAGGCCAGGGGCCTCCATAGGCGGAGAGGTCGGCCAGGCAGAGGTTATGTGGGGACAGAGGAATGCGACAAGGATCGAGTAGAGTGCTGATCTTGATGATGTCGCAAGCTTCGGCTGCGGGTGATATACAGGGTGGATGATTACTTTGGCTGTAACACTTCCCCTCTCCTTTCCCACTTCGAGGCTTATCAGAGTATTAAAGCAGACTCATTTGCCATCAGTGATTTTGTTAATTGGTAACTATGGTAAGCCATGTGCTAGGGATGGTGTCTTGACTATCACCTGCGTGACTGGCTATTTAGTTTATATGTGTATCCACTCACGGAGGCACTTACTCTTATTGCGCTCGGAACTGTGCTGACGTTGTACGCTGACCGGTGGCAGGTGTTACTAAGCACACAAACCTGCCCTTTGCTCAGGTGCGCAAAAAGACACTGGACTTGGCCATGGATCTGGTGACGCTGCGGACTGTCGAGGAGATGGTCCTGGTGCTGAAGAAGGAGGTCACCAAGACGCACAACACGGTCGAGCACGAGGACATTGGAAAGTGAGTCCTGTGTAAACTGATCACTTTGATTGTTTTGCGTCACCCTCTGTAACGTCGAGGAGCAGCCCCCATTATTTTGGTGGGCCCTCTGCACTGATTATCATGGCAAGAAACCATTCAGTCTCGTGGTTGACCTAGCCCCATTATTTTGGCGGGCCCTGTGCACTGGTTATCATGGCAGGTAACCATTCAGTCCCGTGGTTGACCTAGGTACTCGTGAGGTGAGCGTCAAGTCTGCGCCATCCCGGCGTCTCGCATTGTGATGCCGACGCGTGCTGCTAATCTGCGCCGGGCTCGCTGACATGGGCCAGCTGCGTTTAATAGTGCCTATGCTGCGTCCTGTAGTGGTACCTCACTGACGTCACTGTCACGACGTGCCTGCTCTGCCGGCTCACGGGTCGCTGTTCCGGCCTGGGGACGTCGGCCGGTCGTTCACGACTGGCTGACACACTCACCATATGCGGCCGCGGCAGGTACCGGCAGCTGCTGGTGCGCACGCTGCACACGTGCTCGATCAAGTTCTCTGACGTCTCGACCACCGGTCATCCCGCTGCTGACCGAGTTCCTCTCGGACACCAATGAGCTGGCCGCCTCCGACGTGCTCGTCTTCCTGCGCGAGGCCGTGCAGCGCTTCGAGCACCTGCGCCCGCTGGTGCTGGAGCAGCTGCTGGAGGCCTACCCCCTCATCGGGTCAGCGGTTTGGGGCGGCGGGCTGGTGCTGCGTCTTGCGAAGTCCCACTGATCGGGAGCTTAGCCCCTCTGGATTTCAGAACTCCTTTGGGATTTGTGTGAAAGAATGTGGAGAGCAGCATCGTCGTCGTCGGCTCTTATTGCCGCCCAAGTTAGGGGTGCGTTTGAGGTCACTAGTTTCCGTTGCCACTGAAGACCAGCTCGGTCGTCTGGTTCGCTCTGCATGCCATCGCCTCGGCGCGCCCCATTGACGGCATGATCATCGGTGGCCACATCCGGGCCACGCCGCTGACTGAGCGCGTCGGCGCGCGGCGCAGGTCTGTGCGCGTGCACCGGGCTGCCACCTGGATCCTGGGCGAGTTCGCGGCCAGCGCCGAGGACGTGCAGGCGGTGCTGACGCAGGTGCGCCAGGCGCTGGGCGAGCTGCCGCTGGTGGAGGACGAGCGGCGCCGCGCCGCCGGCGAGCTCACCGACGACGACCCCGCCCAGCAGCAGCAGACCGTGCACAAGCTGGTGACGGCCGACGGCACCTACGCCACCCAGTCGGCCTTCAGCACAGCACCGTGAGAGCAGCTGGTGGGCCGGGGGCGGGGTGCACGCCAGGGGCGCGGACGCGGACGGCACTGAGAGCAGCTGATGGGCCGGCGGCGGGGGGCACGCCAGGGGCGCGGGACGCCGCACGGCACTGAGAGCAGCTGATGGGCCGGCGGCGGGGTGGCACGCCAGGGGCGCGGGACGCCGCGGCGCCGCTGAGTGCAGCTGATGGGCCGGAGGCGGGGTGGCACGCCAGGGGCGCGGGACGCCGCGGCGGCACTGAACAGCTGATGGGCCGGGGGTGGGGTGGCACGCCAGGGGCGCGGGACGCCGGCACTGAGAGCAGCTGTTGGGCCGGAGGGCGGGACGGCGCGGGGGCGCTAAGAGCAGCTGATGGGCCGGGGGCGGGACGCCGCGGCAGCGCCCAGATAGCGGCCGTGACGGCCCTTCAGGCGGAACATCCTCTTTCCCTGCGGTGATGATGGTCATCGTGCGTCAATCTTTGGTCCCTGATGAGACTCATTTGGTCAACGTGCCTGCTTGGTGCTGCCTGGTGGACTTGTGTAACGGAGGCTGGGACTGTTGTATTTCTGCGTTGTTGATATCACCTGCGCGACAGGCCGGCACCGAGGACCGGCTTCGTCACGTGCTCGTGCCCCAACCGACTGGCTCGTCTCCAGCTGCCCTGACCGGCGCTCTGCCTCAGGTCGACCAAGAAGAAGGAGGCGGAGCGGCCGCCGCTGCGTAAGTATCTGATGGCCGGCGACTTCTTCGTGGGCTCGGTGCTGGCGGCCACGCTGGCGAAGCTGGCGCTGCGCTACTGCCGGCTGGTGTCGGCGCCCGTCAAGCAGCACCGGGTACGCGGCGAGGTCATGCTCATCATGGCCAGCATCATGCACCTGGGCCGCTCCGGCCTGCCCGACAAGGCCATCAGCGACGACGACCTGGAGCGGCTGCAGCTCTGCCTGCGCGTGGTGGCCGAGCCCAGCCCGCTGCTCGAGAACATCTTCCTGCACGCCTGCAAGGACGCGCTTAACTCCATGCTGAAGGTCGGTGGGGCCGCGAGGAGGATGTTAACAGGGTAAAGGGGCGGGGCACGGGTGGCGTGGCGGAGTTGCGTTTGTTTTTCACGCCGTGATGGAAAGTAGCTCTAAGATGGGCAGCGTTCTTATATGACGGCATTGAATGGTGCCGATACAGTGGATGCAGGCTGTCGTTGCTCTACCTCTGCCAGTGTGATATCCGCTTCCGCGGACCTCGGCTGGGACATTACCGACGGACCTGCGAAGCCGCTGAGTGTGCTCTGTGCCACCGTCGCCGTCCCGCCCGCCGTGTGCGGCCGGCCTGACGCCGTGGACCGTCGCCAGGTGAAGGCGGACGCCGAGGTAACGCATCAGACCAAGGACCGCGCCGCGCTCACCGTGCAGCCGGACGCGCCCATCGCCTTCCTGCAGCTGTCCGGCCGCGGCGAGCTGGGCGGCAGCGAGAACGTGTTCGAGCTCTCGCTCTCGCAGGCCGTCGGCGTCGTCAAGAAGTCGGCCGCCGACTTCAGCTCGTCCAAGCTCAGCAAGGTGCGCTCCTCTCCCGTCACCGTGCGCTAGCGAACCGGCTGCACTGTGTGTGACGGCGACAGTGTTGGTGGTGCGTGTGTGTCCTGTGGCATCGGATTTGCATTGCTTTCAGATACCAGTGGTGTTTGGTTGAGTGTTGCTAGCCCCGTGTGGTAATTGTCTAAGTTGCGCCAAGAGCGTGTGTGAACCCATTGGCTGGCTGTTCGCCCCGCGCTAACATCGCAGCCGACCGTCGCACGCTCCTGGTCCGTCGTCCGTTGCCCGGTGCCGATGGGCCGTCGCGCCTGTGACGTCGCTGCCGACGGGGGCCGCGCGTGTTGCTCGGAGCCGACCGCCGCCTGGCCTCTGCAGCCGCCTGACGCGTGCTCGCGCTCTGCCAGGTGACGCAGCTGACCGGCTTCTCTGACCCCGTGTACGCCGAGGCGTACGTAAACGTCAACCAGTACGACATCGTGCTGGACGTGCTGGTGGTGAACCAGACGTCAGACACGCTGCAGAACTGCTGTCTGGAGCTGGCCACGCTGGGAGACCTCAAGCTGGTTGAGAAGCCGGCGCCGCTGGTGCTCGGACCCAAGGACTTCGCCAACATCAAGGCCAATGTCAAGGTGCGTGTCCACCATCGTCGAGGGCTCTGTAAGTTAACCACCGTGCGTCACGTTACGACAGAGATTCAGTGCCGCATGTCCTCGCTCAGTTGACACGTCCTTACATCCCACCTCCATCAGGAGCATGGGTAGCGTTTCCCATTGTTGTGCATATGTTGTCCATTCAAATTATTTTTATCAAGTCTTCTGGGGATGGATTAGTACAGGAGCAAAGTCGTGAAAGTGTGCACTGCGGAGCGCCATAGAGGCTGTGTGTCGGACGTTCTGGCCGTGTGCCTCAGGTGGCGAGCACGGAGAACGCCATCATCTTCGGCAACATCGTGTACGACGTGACCGGCGCCGGTAACGACCGCAACGTGGTGGTACTGAACGACATCCACATCGACATTATGGACTACATCGTGCCGGCCACCTGCAACGACCAGGAGTTCCGCCAGATGTGGGCCGAGTTCGAGTGGGAGAACAAGGTGGGCCTGTCGGCGCGTCTGGACACGCTGCTGCGTGGTAGCGCTGCCGTCGAGAGCCGGGTGAAGTAGACATGATTCGCCTGAAAGCTCTATCTGTAGGCTGATCGTTAGAATGGACTCAGAATGCCTTTTAAGTGAGCTGCTTAATGCCAGGTTCGTCGCGTTGCCCGTGTTGAGTGTTGAGTGAAGTTGGTGGTGTGCTTGTTCGGTGACAGCCGAGCGTCATGCGGTGTCCGGACGTCTGACACCGACCTGCGACCGCCAGGTGTCCGTGAACACGACGCTGACCGACCTGAACGACTACCTGACCCACCTGATGACCTCCACCAACATGCGCTGCCTCACGCCGGAGAAGGTGCGGCGTCGCCAGGCGCCAGCCATCGAGCTGAAGCCGGCCGGCTCGCGATACAGGACAAAGTGTGGCGCCACTCATGGATGGCTCGTGGTTCACGTCAGCGGATCGTCGCCTTGTTCTAACGTCGCACCTAGGGGTCGTGCGTACTCCTCGATTGATGTACACTTCGGCCGAGTGGTTCACATTGGTTCATAACATCTCATTGGGGTAGTCGAACAGATTTCTCATGATCAGCTTGTAGTGTTATTCGAAGCCTGACGCAAAACTTCCTGCTAGCCAGTATGCCCTCCCTGTCAGCGCCCTGGACGGGGCAGCGTCAAATGTGGGTGGGCCGCGTCCCCCGGCGGCTCACGCTCTGTCCGCGTCGCAGGGCCTGTCGGGCGACAGCGGCTTCCTGGCGGCCAACCTGTACGCCCGCTCCATCTTCGGCGAGGACGCGCTGGCCAACCTCAGCGTCGAGAAGCCGTTCAACAAGCCGGACGCCCCCGTCATCGGCCACATCCGCATCCGAGCCAAGAGCCAGGTGAGCGGCCGGCCCGGCCAGAGCGGGCCAGTAGGGCTGTCGGCTGTCCGCGCGTGGGACGGTGATACGTGGTGGGTGTCACTGTGGCGCAGGTGCCAGGTTGTCAATGTGGTGTCATTGTTTTTGGTGTATGACTGATAGTGTTCGTATTTCACGTACAATCATTTGCCGTTGCTTCATCTGATGAGGCGGTTGTACCTGGTGCCGGCTGGCGTCCCCCCCCCCACACCCAGCTGACCAGTGGGGTGTCGTGCGGCAGGGCATGGCGCTCAGCCTGGGCGACAAGATCAGCCAGGTACAGAAGAAGGCGCGCGCCACGCCGCCCGCCGGCGCGTAGAGGGCCGTCCGCCCCGCCGGCCGACCGGACACCATTCCGGAGCGTGGTCCTCGGCTCCTCCCCTGCTGGATGCTGATCGTGGGCGGCCTCGAAGGCGCCTACGGGACGTGCAGGAGCTGGGTGTTCGTTCTTTTCTGATTTGAAATAATATATATGGGGTGAGGTATGATGTGCGGTTCTTTATATACGATGGTTAAGCCATGAAACACTCGGAACACATTTAAACGTATTCTATAGAATGTGATCCCCGTTATCACTTGAGTTGCAAGCATTAGCAAGGCAGGTTGAAATATAATGATCTAGGTGGTAAAGTGACTGTGATTTTGCCATGCGATGCTGGAGTAAAATCAAAACAGTATTGCCACCATGTATTGCACGTGACTCGTTGAGTATCGACAAACTCTGCGTAACGCAGAAGCTCTACACAGCGTAACAGCTTTCCCCTAGCGTAAACGGGTCATACGGATTGTATATATGAAAGAGCACTGTTTTGGCAGGAGGGCTTGAACTACAGAAACCTCTCCCATTACGTAGCGATGTCTCCTACCCGCCGAGCGGGAGATGGGATGTTGTACTTGGAACATTGTGGTCCTGAGCATTCGCGTTGATTATAAATGATGGCCTCGCATGGTTGACGCAACTGGCGTATATCATTGCACTGCCCTCATCGACTACACGGAAGCATACACACATGACAAAGCAAGCTCACGCCAACTCAGCATTTCTAAGATGCATTGGACGTCTTCCCATCCCGTGGTGTTGACCGAGGCGACCCTGCGAGAACATCCGGGCGGGGTCTCGTGCCGAATGTACCCGTCCCCGTCTCGTACCCGTCCCCCGGCTTCACCCCGCCCGCCTCACTTATACACATACTCCGAGTACATATTCTCTGCGGCGCTGCGGGTGGCGCGCGCACCGTTGCGGTACCGGCTGAGGCGGAGGTACAGGCCGCCGGCGGCCAGCAGCGCGCTGACCAGCAGAAGCACCAGCAGCAGCAGGACCAGCGCCAGGCCCAGCCGCGGCAAGCAGACCGTGCCGGACGCTGCTTCCGGCTGCCGGCGCGCCTGCGCGCCCACCGAGAACGACAGGTCGTCCGGCGACACGACCCGGAAGCGACGCGCCATACTCAGCGTCAGGCTGCGCGCCTCCGTCACGCGCCGCTTGGAGCGCTGGCGTCGGCCGAGGCGCGCGCCGAACTTGCCGCTGGGCGCGTACGACACGCTGAACAGGCTGCGGCTGCTGCCCGCCGAGCGCATGGTCGAGAACTCGTTTCGGATGTCGTCCATGGCGCAGGCGGAGTCGTCCATGGCGCAGGGCCGCCCGGCGCGCGGCGCCGCCCTGGTCGGCTCACGCAGCCGTGCCAAGATGTCCTGGACGGAGCGCGGCTGCGGCAGCGTGGTGGGGCCGACCATCGGCGGCGGCGGGCCGGCGTCGGCGCGCGGCTCCGGCGCGAAGAAGGTCATCCCGCGGGTGTCGGGTGCCTCGCGCGCCGTAGTCGTCTCGGCCGCCGACGCCGTCGACGCCTGCGCGCCGGTCATAGCTTCGATCATGCTGCAGATGGGGTCACCGCCGGCCTCGGGGCACACCTCCTGGATCTGGAAGAGGGCCACCATGTCGGGGGTGACCTCGCCCGTCCGCAGCATCGCGTCGACCGCCTGCGGGTCGCGCATGGTCTGCCGCATCTCGGCCATAAACTCCTTGTCAGCCATGATCTCCTTGATGCTGGGATCGCGCATCAGCGTCATCAGCGAGTCCGCCGACGGCGTCATCGTCGCCGCCGCCATCGCCGCCGCCACCGTCGCCGCCGTCGCCGTCACGCCCGGAAACATGAGCGTCATCTGACTCGTGGTGGACCGCGGAGAAGTCGCGGACTCGGCCGGCATCGCGGTCGTCATGGCCGGTGGCATGTTCAGCGCCGCCGGCGCGGCGGACGCAGCGGGCGGGAGGGACGAGAGGCGCAGCAGCGTGTGGCCGGGCGTCACGGTCGTGCGGTCCATCGGCACGTCCTCAGGCGCCGAGGTACCGGTGGTTCCGCCGGTGGTCCCGCCGGTGGTCTGGCCGTTGCTCCCGCCGGTGGTCCCACCGGTAGTCCCGCCGGTGGTTCCACCGGTGGTCCCGGCGGTGGTCCCCGCAGTGGTTCCGCCGGTGGTCTGGCCGTTGGTTCCGCCGGTAGTCCCGCCGGTGGTTCCAGAGGTCCCAGCGGTGGATTCCGCTGCTGGCTCCGGCGGTGGTCGCATCGGAGGAGGTCGCGCCGGTCGTGGCCCGCACGCGCGCCATCATCTCCTTAACGCGGGTCGAGCGCCGTCATCGCGGCCGGCGTCGGCAGCCGCTCGCCCATCGGCGGCGGCTCCAACGAGCGCGTCGTCGTCGTCGAGCGGCGCCGCGTCGGCAGCGTCGGCATCATCGGGCGGCGGCCGCTCATGCGGAGCGCCGCGAAGCTGTGCGGCTCCGGCTGCGGCTCGGGCAGCCGGAGCGGCTGGCTGCGCTCCTCCTCGGCCTCGTCCTCCTCCTCCCGGTCGCCGTCCTCCTGGAAGCCGCGCGGCGCGTCGTCGCTGTCGCAGCCCTGCTCGCAGCGGCCCTTGCAGAACTCGACCTCACACGCCAGGTACACGTCCATGCGATCGGGGAACTTGAAGGCGTTCATGCGCGCGAAGGCGAGGATGTCGGCGCCCGTGCTGCCCGTCTGTCGCGTCTTGCGGAAGTAGCCCATCAGCTTGGGCTTGAGCAGGCAGCCGTCGTCGTCGGTCAGCTGCAGGACGGTGGTGCGCGGGTCACTGATGTTCTCGCCGTCATAGGCGTAGCAGTTTTTGACGGCCATGTCCATCTGTCCGGCGGCGGCCTGCGCCATCAGCACCACCGTCAGCTCGTCGCCGATGCGCACGATCCCGTCCACCGACTCTGCGAACGGACCGCGCCCCAGCTGGATGTCCATCCAGCAGGTGACGTCATCGCCAGCGAAGCGCGCCTCTGTGGCATCCAGCATCTGGACAGCGATCGGCCTGAAGGTGACCAGCTTCTCGACCCGGTCCGGCCAATCGCAGCTGAGCCGCCGCGCCGAGTCCCACTGCTCCTGCACCACCTGGCGGGACGCGGAGGAAACGGTGACGCGGCGACCGGCCGCACGGCGGCGGTGCGCGAAGTATCGGGCGATGAGAGCGTCTCTCGATGATGCGCTTCATGAAATAACGCATGTTGAACGACACTGCGTTGCGGGAAAAATTCGGTGGACACAAATAGGGGCCTGGTAGCTGTACTGCGACTGGACACGTGTAAATAAAATGAGCAACAGTTTAATTTTCAGTAGACCCTTGGTGCCATACTCCAGGGTTTATTCCATTTAGGTACGTCTGACATGGCTGAATCACGCCTCAGTAATAATTTTTTTCTTGAAATCGAATCAATCCACCGACAGAACATCGGGCACAACTTCATCAGACAGCACAGGATTCTGCGGCTGCGGCAGACTGTGACGCGATGGCAGCAAACGCATATGTATCGCGTGCATTTCACTCACCTCTTCCGACTGGATAATCATGGTGTTCTCGAAGCCCATGCGGCCGTCGTCCGTGATGGCCCGCGAGCCGCAGCCGGTCATCGGAATCTCGAACGTGTAGCTGGTGTCACCGCTCTGGAACGGCACGTACCTGGGGGGCGGGGCTGGTCAGTGGAGCGGGCCGGCCAACGGGGCTGGGAGGCTGCATTGACGCCGGGGGCAGGTGATCAGTTATAAGTGGCTAGATTAGGTGACTACGAAGCTGATTGTGAAGTCTGATCTACATTTGGGGTTAGATTCCAAGAGGATAGGTTTTGCATGCGGCACTCTACAGCCCACACTGACAACAGCAGCCGTTTGCATGCTTCTCTATTGTAGTTTAATGCTCCGTCTCCAAGGCAAGGAGTAACTAAACCTCGCATGGTGGCATCTACAGCGATAAGCGGGAAAGGCCACCAAAGCTTTTCATCGCTCCGATAAGGAGGGAACAGATGCACGTGTGTGGTACTATTCAGCCGATGGGGAAGGGCCAAGATAGGTGCCCATATGTTGGATCGATTTGGAGACAATCATATTCTTACCTGGTTGTGGCACTCGCCGTCCGCAATGTTTAACCGATGAATGCGACCGAAAGCTAAAAAGCCTACGAAATGGCATGCATTTATCATGCTTGGGAACAGTTTCATGTTTGTAGGTATTACCACTGGTTGTATTTACATACTACATAACACGTTTCCCTTCCTCATCAGAAGTCCTGCTGGATGAAGGCCAGTTTGCGGTGTTCAAGTTAATAACGGCTCATGATAACCCATCGTAGAGTCTTGACGTAATAAACCGCGTCACCGCCTACGGAATCAAAAATGAATAAAATCGCAGACGAGCGCAGGATAGTCGTGTCTTCACACGTAATGATAGATGACAGGCTGGCTGACGTGGACTACAGGTCACCTCACTACGCTTGCCGCTCGATACCCGCCGAAACTGCAACCAACAAACAGCTATGAAAGACACGTCTCATTCCCTCGCCGGCTGCCGTCCCATCACCGGCGCCGGTACAGTTTCTCGCGCGGCGACAGGGGGCGCGCGACGCGGTCGCGGCGGCGGCGCGCGCAGCCGGCGGCCGCCACGCACAGACCGAGCATGACGGCGGCGCTGAGCGCCAGCAAGCTGGCCGCGAACGTGCCCACCGACAGACAGACAGCGGCGGCCGGCTGCTGGACGGCCGGCGGCCGCGTCGGCAACTCGTCCTGCGTTGCCACGTACACCTGGCGAGACAGCCGAACCGGCTGGATCTCGGCCGGCGGCGGCAGCGCGCGCCGGCCGCGGTTGAAGCGACCGCGGCCGCCGCGCAGGCGCCGCTTGCGGCCCCCCAACCGGCCCTTGGTGCGCTTGGACGGCACGAGGAATATGGGGATGGGGGTGGCGCCGGGCGGATCGGTGACGACCTCGTTGACGCGCGTGGCGGCGCCGGCGGCAGCGCCAGATTCGAACGAGATGAAATTGGCGGCCGGCGCCGGCGCGGGCGTCGACGGCCGGTATGTGATGGGCGTCAGGGAGGAGGCAGCCGAACGGCGAGGAAGCGGCGGTGACCGGCGAGGCGGCGGCAGCGGCCGGCGCGTTCTGCGTGCTGCCTGCGGCGGCGCCCACGCGGACCGTCACCGCCGCCGTGGCGGTCGGCAGCAGCGAGGCGGGCACCGTGACCGTCCCAAACGGCGTCCGCACCACTTTGGCGCCATCTGGCGTGGCGCGCTCGGCGCCGCCGGCCGGCCGGCGCGCCAGTTGCACGGCCGGCCGCGGGGCGGCGCTGGTGACGGCGGCCGGGGCGGCCGCGGACAGGACGCCGGCCGCTGTCGGCCGTGCTGCCGGCGTGACGCGGCCGGCGGCCGGCGCTAGCCGGGACCGCGACGGTAGGCGGCCCAGTTCGATGTTGGCCAGCTGGCTGAGGATCGTGTCGGTGCGCACGCGGCCTTCGTCCAGCGCGTTGTAGCTGGGGTAGTCGCGCAGCACGCCGCCGGTAGCGTCGTTGTAGCTGGGGTAGTTGGCCTGGGCCCTACCGCCGCTGTTGTAGCTGGGGTAGTCGCGCGGCGGCTCCACGGTCGCGCCTCCGCTGGCCACCGTCTGGCTCTGCCTCGTCCCGGTAGCCGCCGCCCTCGTCGTCGCTGCCCTCGTCGTCGCCGTCGTCGTTGCCGTCGTCGTTGTCGTGACCCTGGTGGTGGTCGTCGTCGTGCGGCGCGTTGTCGTGCGTGCGGCGGTGGCGGTGCGCCTGACGGTGGGCCGCGGCGCCGGCCGGCGAGTCGGCCGCACCGTCCGCCGCCGCGTCGGCCGCACAGTGACCGGCCGCTGCGACGCCGCCGCCACCGACGCGTCGCGCCGCACGCACGACTCCGGGCACAGGCCTTTGCAGACCTCGACGTCGCAGCTGAAGTGCACCTCGAGCACGTCCGGGAACTTGAAAGCGGAGATGTAGCTGAAGGCGATGACGCGGCCGCGGCCGTCGATGTTGCGCCGCGTTACGTGCAGCTCCGTCATCAGCTTGCGCTTGAGCACGCAGCCGGCGGCGTCCGTCAGCTGCACGCTGCTTGCGGAGGCGAAGTCGGCGCTGCTGTAGGCGCGGCACTCGCCAACGCGCAGGTCCAGCCGGCCATCGGGGTCCTCGGCGAACATGAGCAGCGAGAGGTCGGCGCCCACACGCACCGTCTCCGTGACGCCGGCCGAGTCAGGCCAGCGGCCCACCTTGCACGTCCATGCCGCAGCTGACCGACTCGTTGGCGGCGAAGCGGACCTCCTCAGCCTTCATGCCGGCCACGGGCAGCGGCGAGAAGGTGACCGTCTTGCGCATCTGCGCCTGCTGCCAGTCGCAGGTGATTGTGCGCGCCACATCCCACGCCTCCTGAATGGTCGCGTCGTTCTGCAGCACGATCGTGTTGCTGAAGACGGTGCCGTCCTGCACCAGCGTGCCGCAGCTTGCCATTGGCACGGTGAAGGTCAGCAGGCGCGAGCCGCCGCCCGCGCCGCGCGCGTACCTGCCAAACGAGAGCCGGGGTCAGGACGGGTCAGGGCAGGTCAGGGCGGAGGTCGGCGGGATTGGCGTCGGTGGCCGTCGGCCGTGTCGGGTGTCATTGGGCTCGAATGGTTGTTGTCAGGAGGTGTTGTTTGTCGGATAGATTCCTGTCACTACTTTGTGCGGCGTAGGCTTGGTCTAAGTCACGAGCATCCTGACTGGCATGATGTTTGTCAAAGACGCGTATTGTGGCTAGCGAGCGTAGCCCTAGGATGGTTGTCTGAATGCCGTTTCTTGACAGCAATTGATGCGAGGTTAGGAGGTCCGGCACCGTCGTGTGTGAAAGTCTGCGAGACCGTGAATGTGACTCAAAGCAGGGGCGATCGGGGACAAATTCGGCGGAAAGTGTAGTTTTCACTCCGTGCTCAGTGAGTATTTTCGACATGCTGAGAGCATTCGATCGTGACTCGAGCATATTGGGGAACTATAGGGACCGTTTCATGCGGTGCTGGGATCGGATGTTCGTGATGGAGAACAGGGTGAGGACAGGCTGGCTCCGTCTGGCAAGCACAGTGGCCACATGTTCCCAACGAATCGCCGTTTATCTGTTACACCTTCTGAAAGGCTCAGCGATTTCGGTTTCTTCAGCACTGGCCGTGGTTGGTGACAACAGAAAGCTGTCGTACGGCGCGATTTCGGGGAGCCGAGGGTTTACTCCTCACCCCGATAATTGCGATTGGTGCTCAAAATAACGTGCGGAACTGGCGCTGTCGAAACTGGACCTGTGCTTGACCGCAGGCGGAGTGGAAATCAGTCAAATTTTCGACGAGTTAAGTTGGAATCACTCTCTTTTAAACATTGTTGTGAGTCATGAACTCCAAAGATAAACTGTACATATATATTTTACTTTTATATATCTATATCTTATTTATATATTTGTATATACTTTTGATTTGCATGTATATATATATTCATATTAACTATATATATATATACATATATATATATATATATATATATATATATATATATATATATATATATATATATATATACATATATCGTTTTGTATTCTTGTGCTGTCAAAACGAATGTTGTCTATCGACCATTACACAGCCCATGGCCCAGCTTTCAGCCGCCGCCAATCTCACGGTCACGTCCACGGCTTGGCTCCAAACCATTATTCCCGCAACTGGTCCCACCGTAATCAACAGCGGAGTTGAGGGACATCTCCCTTAGACAGAGTCGTAGTCAGCTCAAAGCTGTGGCTGTGCTCTTGGAGTCAGAGTCAAAATCTACTCCATGCGCTGTGAGCGCATGCCTCAAAAACGGGATTAATCACAAATCTGGTCAAAGCATTATGCAGCTTGCTCTATCACGCATAGCTATTAAGTTTATCCCGAAGATCGCTTCGACCTGTTGTAGAAAACACTGATGACTTATTATTCCAGCAATATTTCCAGCCTCTTGACTGATAAAGACCCAAAATCTGACGGGTATGGGTCGGACCTTGCTTACCCGCTGCCATTTCTTACCGTGACCAGGTGACCCGGTGATGCTGTCCCAGGGGTTTCAGAAATGACAACCTAACTAAATATACCATGCAGCAAGGAAAAAAGCTTTTCAGGTTTATCGCCAAAAATGTTTAGATATCCCTAAGATACGGCTACCATTTCCGACCCTGCATTTGTCCGTGTTCTGCGTCATACTGCGGTCCCGCCGCGGGCATTGGTGCGGTCAGGTCAGGTCAGGTCAGGTCACCGGTGACGCGACAGGCCCACCAGTCGTCGTGAGGTACCATCGGCGGCCGTCACCGTCGTCCCTTTTGACGTCCAAGCGGCAGTCGCACCTTGCGGCCGTGTTAGCGTATCTGAGAGCGTAGCCGGGCCTGTCGTCTGGGTCCGTGTCGGTCTGGCCAGTGGTTAGTCACGAGCGTAGCCCAGTCCCCAGCACAGGACGGACTAAACGAAGCCATATCAGTTATAGCACGCTGCATGCACATCCGTTATCCACGCAAAACACTGCTACACGACTACAAACACGATGCAGAGCATGATAGATGTATGCAGTAAGCTCGCGGCGCGTGAGCGATGTCGAGTCCCAGCTATAACTGTTATAAAATACCGTCTTAAACAGTGAGCAGCAAACTGACGATGCCTTTGAGGTAACTTGAGAGCGACAAGCTGTGGAACTGAAACGTACACCTCGCACCCTGCATTGGCCCATGTCTATGCCTCACCGTCAACACAGTGACATTTACATCCGTAACACCTGCCGGCAGACCTCACCTGCAGCTGGGGTCGGCGAAGTGGCCTTTGCTGAAGATGATGCCGTCGAACCGCTCCGAGAACTGAATCTCCACGCGCATGCCGGTTCGCTCGCACTGGACGTCGATGTCCGTCACGGTTGGTCCGCTCTGGTCGTCGGCGCGCTGCGCCGCCACCGCCTGCCGGCCCGGCGGCGCCGTCACCACCCCGCCTGACTCCGACAGCTTAACATAGCAGTCAGTTAGATCATCTCTGCGCTCTGTCTTCTCCCTCTACCGTGTTTGTTCTCCTTGTGACGTAACGTGTGCCTGTTCCAGACAGGCGCTCTCCCGCTCCTTGTGTCTGCCCCGCTCTCTCCCGGCACTCCTGTCACTCTCTCCCTCCCCGCCCCTGCTGCTGGCCGGGGCGGTTGGGGAGGAGCCACTCAGGGGAGACGCCCGTGTCACCGCTGGCAGATGTGTGAGGGATGGCTGGCGGATCGGGTGCGGGCGTGGCCGGCCGCCGGCCGCCCCGCCGGGCGCGCCGTTTTCCTCTGGCGCTCCACCGGCTGTCGACTGCGCCCTGTCAGCAGGGCCGCCCTCGAAGAAAGGGAAATCTGCCGCCGGCGAGCGGTCTCGGTTGGCGAGGGTTCGCCCCTCACCGCCCTGTCAGATACCGCCGGGCGAGCAGTCTCATGTTGGCGAGGGCTCGTCCCTCACTGCCTTTGCCAGATGCCGCCGGTGAGCGGTCTCGGTTGGCGAGGGTTCGTCCCTCACTGCCCGTGTCAGATGCCGCCGGCGAGCAGGTCTCAGTTGGCGAGGGTTCGTCCCTCACTGCCTTTGGCAGATGCCGCCGGTGAGCGGTCTCGGTCTGACGAGGGTCGTCCCTCACTGCCCGTGTCAGATGCCGCCGGCGAGCGGTCTCGGTTGGCGAGGGCTCGCCCCTCACTGCCTGTGTCAGATGCCGCCGGCGAGCGGTCTCAGTTGGCGAGGGTTCGTCCCTCACTGCCCGTGAGCAGAGGCCGCCGGTGGGCGGTCTCAGGTTGGCAAGGGTTTGTCCCCTACTGCCTGTACCAGATGTCCGCGCATCATTGAATGGAAGCAGACCAGCAGAAGTAATATTGTTGGAACAAAGGTGGTGAGACGCAGACAAGCAATTGTAGTATGAAACATACAAATCTGTAAGGTTAAAAACTGACAACGTTATTAACAAGTATTGTTATCAAAATCTGATAAATTCAGCATAGACCATGCGTTTTCCTACTTCTTGTTGGGAAACAGGTTCATGTAATGCAGCAGACAGGTTCAGTAAAGGTTTTCTACACGGCGATTATATTAGTGAAACACAAATCAAAACATAGAATTGAGCTTTCGACATCTTGCTCGCGTTTGCAGCCCTGTATGTCGGTGGAAACATTGCCCTGTTTTAGTCACACCACGCAGACATTCTCGGCTCAATTCATAAAGCGCGTGACAGTGCACGTGATCCATTCATGCATTACCATTCAGTCTGTGAATGTGCGACAGCCGTACGGTTATCTGTCTTGATTCAGACATGATTCAGCTACGTCGCATCCCCTCCCTGATGCACTTGTACTCCCCTCATTGGGAGCTTTCCCCGGTTGGCAATGCCTGTCCTAGAGAATGGCACCGCATTCTGCACGCAACGCAGTGATCCCCCACTCCAGGTGAATCCTATAAAGTAGACGTATGGAGCAGGCGGATTAGTGGCGGTCCGGGCCGCGCCGTTTTGAATTCCCATTTGGCTTACAGTGAAACTAATGATGGAGTCAGATCATCTTTCAGAGCCATGGCTCGACCAAACAGCTGTGAATCTCACCACTCGAATTTGGTCGTAATCAACTGCAGTTCAAACATCGTTAGTGACGGAGAGCGCCGGGCAGATGCTAGGCCGTTTTCACTCTGGACGATAAACGAAAATACCTGCGGTGATGAAATTTATGAAGGAAGCAAATCGCTTCTGATGGCTACTTGACGGTGAAAAATTACTCTAATTGTGGGCCTGAATCACTTCAAGTAGAGAAGAATGCGTCACTTTTGTCGCTGAAGCGTTATTCGATCCATTTCCTTAACCTGCGATGTTGCCCGGCTTAAACATTAATAAAAACATATCAGCCATGTTTCCTTTCTTGACTCCAGTGGTGGGACGCAAATAATTGCGTGGCATCAGGACGGGTGCTTTCAACCGCGGGAAAATTTATCCCGTGGGAATATGAGGGGGTCATCGGGCGGCCAGTGCATGTAGCCAGAGCTTGTCTGCAATTCAAGAACTGCAACCTTGCAGGCAGCGCCACAAGCAGACGCTGGCTGCGAGAGGATGTCGCCACATGCACTGTCATGCATCATATTTGCGATGAGCCTGAATATATGCCATAGCAGCCAAATGAAAGGGTGATGTCTCTACCGGCAAGGGGTGTTTACGCACGCGTGAGATAGCGACAGATCTATTCTGTGATTTAATATGTATTGCCCGAACACAATCACGGAGCAAAACACTTCTCCGGACATACCAATCGCGTATATGGCCCCGATTAGAATAAGAGTTACAAAAAACCAAACGACTTATGGAACTGAGTTTTGCTGTTTGCTTCGGGGAGGAGGACCTCACGGTTCGATTTGCCCTCAGGGAGTCATGAATACACCGATGGCAAAAAGATTGCCTTAGAATGTCTCAAGTGTTGTGGACTGCGGCGCTTCTCGCTCAAATCTGCAGGAGTTCCCGCCGTAGTTCCACACTTAAAAACCTGATTACGACAGTTCAGATCACCACTCACCCTTTTCCTAGCACTGGACGAATGCATCTAACTCGGGGCCCATCCCCACATCCCATAAAGAACTTAAATCCGTTCATCGTTTTACTATCAGCTATCAGCGTCAGCCCACCGTCCAATGCCCGCCAACCCGCCGTCTCCAGGCTTGCTGACATGGACCGGAGAACGATAACACGGGCACGCCATCCAGACGGCGCCACCGCGCCGCGTGACCACTGCCCGCCTCGGAGGCGTCCGAGCCGAGCATTTGTGGCGCCGTCCCGGTCCGTGGTCGCGCCATAATAGTGACGCATCCCGCGCCCGGCTCGGTAGCCGGCGGAACGACACGGTCCGTGACTCTGTTGTCAGCCCCACGCTTTCACTTTCCGGGATTCGCTAGTGGACAACATCTGTAGTTTCCGGAGCAGCAGCGCTGTCGAGGGTGTTAAGAAATCGGATTCACTCTCGATGGTGTTAGCCCGCGCTTCCGTTGCGAAAATGGCGCGCTCTGCGTCCCTGGCGCGGGTTTCCAGGACCAGGTGCAAATAACGAGTGCCGCAGAATACAGTTTGCTCCAGTTATGTCACGCATTGCTCCAGACGCTACGATGCTGTTCAGGTCAAGGCAATCAGGCGAAATACCGTGGGCCAATCGGATCCTGTGGAAAAATGACCCCCGATCCCAGCGCATGCGTACCAGCTGCTGAAAAAAGACAGCAATAACAAACTGCTCCCTCGGTAACCACCTTGTGGTGAGATCTATGGAACGCCCCCACTGTAAGCATCTCGGCATTATAATGAAAAGCATTCGGTGTCGGCATGCGCGTTGCTTAAGTTAACATTTTAATCACGGGTGAAACTTATAGAATTGCTTTGGAACGTTCCTCTACATTGGCAAACAACGATGCAATTGTTGCGCTGGTGCAGTTCTTCAACTAGCGATATAGATACCCTTCTTGGCGGCCCAGGAATCAACTCGGTACATGTTAACGAAGAGGAGAGAGCTACTCAGCACAATGCTCTATCACGGGTCGGCTGACAGTCACATGTCTTCAGGTGAATGACGTTTTGGGGGGATTTGACCTCAGATTAATTGTTTTTGGTCATTTGTGTGGACACGCGCGACATATGCGCTCCTAATTCTGGGATACTGGTCCAAAGTTTAAACTTTTGTCACAGATCCTATGGGCAAACCATAGACTACGATGGCGATAACCTCATCACGGCAGCTCTGCAGACCGCTGCGAAAATGGCTCGTTCTGGATAATTATGGGATGGAACAAAGATAGGCTGTAGAACACGATTATTAAGGTAAGAGGATGAGAACCTCAAGATTCTGGCTGTGAGATACACAATGACAAATGGAACTTGCATATATATATATATATATATATATATATATATATATATATATATGTATGTATATATGCCTTGAGAAAATTAAGAATGCCAAGCTCAAAGTGTCACGTCCAGTGGCAGCTGAGTGCCTGACTCAACAGGCTATGAGTGATGAACTGGGCGATAATTTTTATCAGTTTCGGTTTCTTTGAAGAGTGTGAATTACATAACTCATGTTATCAGATCATCACACAAGGCCACACCATCTGTAATTCAGGTACTGGTCAGCCATCCAGTGCAGATTCCCACCCACCTGACCAATATTACCCGATTACGGGCCGTTACCTAACGGCTGAGTAACTGCAGATGTTCGTTCCATTTGGCGTCGCGCCCCGCCGAGCGAAACGCTCGCACTGGCCGCACGCGCTGCGATGACACCCGCCCGGACCGGGGAAACGTCCGAAACCGAGAGTGGAACGGGAGCATATGGCCGGTCTGGAGCGGTTTCACTTGTCCCCGGGCATGCTCGCCGCCATGTGTCAGCGCAGGCAGACGCCCTGCACATGTGCGCCGCGCTGCTAATGGTCGGAGGGAAACCGCCGTTGCAGACGCTGATGACAGCAGTGCGTCTGTCCCTGCCCACGGCAGAGTGCGGCGCGTCTGTCCCTGCCCACGGCGGAGCGCGGTGCGTCTGTCCGCTGCCCACGGCGGAGCGCGGTGCGTCTGTCCGCTGCCCACGACAGAGTGCGGCGCGTCTGTCCCTGCCCACGGCAGAGCGTGGCGCGTCTGCCCCTGCCCACGGCGGAGCGCGGTGCGTCTGTCCGCTGCCCACGACAGAGCGCGGTGCGTCTGTCCCCTGCCCACGACAGAGCGCGGTGCGCCTGTCCCCTGCCCACGGCAGAGCGTGGCGCGTTCTGTGCCGCCTGCCGCGCTCCCTTAGTGAACGTAACGCACATTTCGGTACCGGTTGTGCTGATCCGGGCGTCACCTTCTTTGAGTTGAGAAGGGTATCTTTCCTGCACCCTGGGCTGCGAGCAGGCATGAGCGTTGTATTCGTACAATGCGTGGTAGGGGCAAACATCAAGTTTTCTAAAAACAACAGCGACAACGCAAAGGTGCTCGCTGTTTTTCTTGCTTTTTTAGTGAGCTTTCTGCTGTGCTTCCAGCTACATTGTAACATATGGCACGATTGAATCTGTTCCCAAATGCAGGTTGTTTGCAACATTTAACCATCCATGACAATGTGCCCCCGGCACTGCCGCTTTTCCGCATGGTGTCGCCGCCACCGCGTGTCTGTGTATCTGTTTGTGTGTGTGTATGTGTGTGTGCATGTGTTGCCGGTGGTTCGTCTGACAGCGTAAACACGTGCTGCATCACCACGCGTCAATTGCCCGCGCCGCTGATTTCTTTCTCACAACAATTATTGGACTACCGAAACTGTGCGCCTGGATGCGCTATAATTCAGCTTAGGTACGCACATAAGCGTAGAGCGTTTTCCAAGTTTTCTACACGACGCACTGCACTGTTTAAGTTGATATCCAGTTAGCGGTAACAAGCAAGCGCTGGAACACACGCTTACAAATGGCATTTCGGTCACCGTGGCACTTATATCACTGAAATGGTTGACTACCAATATGGATGGGTTAGAAAAAGGCTGCTAAGAGTAATCCCGGTTGTTTCCTCCGGTCAGTCCTTTTGCTTACAAAGTGGCTCAGTTGACATTAAATGCCAGCACTAGTGCGTACTTGAAGTACCGCAATGCTATTGGTGTACCGCCTGCCGGGCCGTACACCACCGTTGCCATGCCAATTTTGGGCGAAAATTTCCACGCGGTTAAATGGGGTGAACTTGCATTTTAGGAAAACGTGTGCTTTACGAAAAACGTGGTAAGCGAGAAAGTCTCAAAACGGAAGAATACGTTAATCTCCGTGATTCAAAACTTTCCCGCCTCGCTGAACTCGAATGACGTTGCCTTGAAAATTACAACCAATTTGAGTTTAGAAAACACTTCACTTTCACACGTGAGTCACACAATTACATTGCCGGGAGACGTTTACCACGCGGCCTCAGATCTCGCGTGTGAAACAGCCGCTCAGACACTTGTCATGCGTTGTTCTCGACTGGGACCGAGCAATGCACACTTCTCCTTGATGTAAGCACCCTGGGCAAAGGCAAATTAGCCAGCCCTGACTTATATGAGCAGGGTCTTCATGATGCGAACACAGCAGGAAGGAAAAAGCGGTGCTTAAATCCTGAAAGCTTAGTCTGGAACCTTCTTCACGCCTTTAAATTAAAGTATGTACAACAGTGTCGTCGCTGCGTTATCGCACATCTGTATTTTCTGCTGTATGTCTGATGACTTTATCTTGCATGTGCCCGTCAGTAAAAGTGTACCTACATTGTTCCGACTGTGTGTTGTTTTTTCGGCATATAGTGCGTCAATTCAGGTATCAAGTTTCTTAAAGACCTCTCAACACTGGGACGTATGCGAAGGGAACTTTCGATGCTCTTGGGTTCCTGTTACCTATTTAATACCAAGCGTACTCTACAACTAAAGCATTGATCGCATTTCTTTGAGGTTAAGCACCAGACATTGCACAGGGACACAGCCATGGTTATCAAGTGTTTCAATGGCGATTTGATGTCCTTGCACTGACCTTGATGAAGACAGCCACCAGCAGTGTCCAACGCAGGCCCAGCCTCGTCATGACGTTTAGCTGGAAACCACAACACGCATATAAGTACACAATACGACATCATAGAGGTAAAATTCCTAATAGCAAGCCCATCCGATGATGATGCTGGTTAGAAGGAATCACAAACAACATCAATTCCACTGGACGAACCGGCTAAATTCAGGGGAGGGGGGGGGGGGGGCACGTTGTCACGCGAGGGTACATGCCGTGTGTCCACCACCGCATAAGGGATAGGCCACTGGCTGTTCTGGTCACACCCAGCCAGGCGTTTTAAGTTGCATCTCGGTGTCGTTTACTGGAGTCTTTGAGCCCGTCGTGGCTTGCTGCACGGAATGGACAGTAACACATTTTGTCGTCGCTCATGTCCGCTGGCGCTGTACCCACACGAACCCAGCCGTCTCCGCGTGCCCTCACAGCTGCTATATGGAGCCATCCCGCCATCGACGGTGCATTCGGAGCTAACCCTCACCTAGTCTGAGGTCCAGGAGCCGCTGGGATCAGCCCAGCCGTGGGTGGCTGGAGCCGGCAGGTGTCGGTGTCGACGGCGCTGGGTGCGGGTCCTGGCGCTGTCCCCCACGCTGCTCGCTCGCTGGCAGCGTACCTCACTCTGCAGACCGCGCTGCCGTCCCGAACCTCCCGCTGCTCCCTCTGCGTCCCAGCTCCGTCCCTGACCACGCCCGCTCCTTCCCGGCGACCTGGACGGGAGGCAAACGGCACAGACACCAGAGCCCGTCCGCCGGCGTACTTATAACCTGGGCCGCGGGCGCCGCCGCCGCCGGCCAATCGGAGGCGGCGCGGGGCGGCGACGGCGCGCTGTTGACGGGACGACGAGCCCACCGGCGAGAGGGCGCCACCTGGAGCATCGGAGGACGGCTCGCGATGATCCCGGCTCTGCTCGGAGCGCTGAGCTGTCCGCAAGAGATGGCCGCGGGGCGTTACATTTGGCTCTGTTCGGAGCGCTGCCTGTCCACGAGAAATGGCCCCGGGGCGTTACATTTGGCTCTGCTCGGAGCGCTGGCCTATCCACCAGAGATGGCCCCGGGGCGCGACATTTGGCTCTGTTCGGAGCGCTGGCCTATCCACCAGAGATGGCCCCGGGGCGCTACATTTGGCTCTGTTCGGAGCGCTGCCTATCCACGAGAAATGGCCCCGGAGCGTTACATTTGGCTCTGCTCGGAGCGCTGGCCTATCCACCAGAGATGGCCCCGGGGCGTGACATTTGGCTCTGTTCGGAGAGCTGGCCTATCCACCAGAGATGGCCCCGGGGCGCTACATTTGGCTCTGCTCGGAGCGCTGCCTATCCACGCCCCGGGACCATCCACGAGAGATGGCCCCGGGGCGTGACATTTGGCTCTGTTCGGAGCGCCGGCCTATCCACGAGAGATGACCCCGGGGCGTGACATTTGGCTCTGTTCGGAGCACCGGCCTATCCACGAGAGATGACCCGGGGCGTGACATTTGGATGAATGTGACGCATGACGCCACTCGCCGCTCCGATCCCTGCTGCCTGCACTGTCATGCCGCTATTTGTTGCAATCCCCTGGCACAGAGGCCGGTGAGTCGTCTTACGAAACAGTACGTGCAAACGCAGTGGACGCGAGGCACCTCACCACTTTCTTTTCACCAAAGTGGCAAAAATTAACGCGGTGGCTGCAGCGAGACCATTAACGACACATTAAAATCCGAGGGAATGCAATGGTTTACTGATTACAAGTTGAGTTTAACTATTCCACAGTTTGGAACGCGTGTATGGTGACTTTAATGTCCACATGGCAAGATATGCATAGAAAGGCGTCCGATTTTACCACGAGCACTTCATAAGATCAGAGTAAAACAAAACATAAAAGAAAGAAGCATAGGACTGACCAAAAACACTAGCACTTCGCAAAGCGCAACGAAAGGCATGGCGAGCTTGATATGGTTGGACACATCTGCCAGCGTCAGATACATCCAGTCGGCATGTTGGAACCGTGGTCAACAGTGGATGTGGATTACTTGCAAGGACTTGGTTCAAACGGGGACAAATCTCTCAAAAATCTTGACGATCGATCCCGGCGATCGAAGAATATTGATAACCGAAATGCGCATTACATCGGAATCACGGAACGGGATGACGGAATCACGGGATTGTGGGACGGCAGCAAGTACACACCCAGCATCGGCTGCGCTCTGCACGTGAAGCAGCTCTGGCTGTCAGTTTCCAGTGCTTGGAAATATTTGTAAAATGTGCAAAACATTGCAAGTTAGTGCTGGTGCTAGCACAGAGCCAGGCATGGCTGGCTGGCTATATAAGCACATTCATAACGACGGTATCAGTACCATATTTGAAGAAAACCTGTCATACCTAATTGCACCCATCTTTAATTCGGGAAACTGCTCATGGCCTAAGACGAACGTGCCGTACTGAATAGAAGCATACTAGTCCCCATGGTCATACAGGGTTTGGAATGCATACAGTAGTGTCGAGAAAGCCAAGTTTATATGATATACGGAACGCTCCTCATGGTCTGCCGGCATTGTAATCCTCTTGAGTACCCAAGACTAGTGTTTGAGCAAACATTCGGATCTTGCCTGCTTTCAATAGGGCATTCGGCAAGGGGGTAGTTCTGTATGTGCTTGGAAATGGCCCTCACGTACGAGTCGCATTTCACAAGGGGCCGCATCATCTGCGAGGTGCATAACGTGCACTGCGCGCTACGATGAAATCATCTAATTTAATCGTGTTTCGTCACGTGCGAAAACAACAGAAAATACTGCAATGAGGATGGCAACCGTCTAGCACAGAAGCTACGCAGACGCAACTGCAGTATTCAGTTAAAACACGATTGCGACCGCATTGCATTTCTCATCAAAAATCGTATGTTTTGCTGTCCCTGGTGCATGACAAGCTGAATTTAGAAAAAAAACTGTGCTCACGAGAGTAAGCGTACTCAACCGCTAAGAAATGGGAATGGGGATCGCAGGAAATACGCACGTAAGGGTTGAATGTACCCACAATGTATTCAACATACTATAAACACACAAAACAATTTAAGCATTCTTCCTAGAAAGCCATTAGCGCCGGAAATTGTCAGAAACTTCCCAAGCAACCAAACAAGGTAAAACTTGATCTAAAGATACCCCGGATGTGCAGCTGTGTTAGTGCACAGTGCAAATCGGCTAGAACGCTGTACGTGACCGTAGCAGAGATACATGGGCTTTAACCCACTTACTTGTGTGGTGCCTCAACGTGCACCACGGTACTTGGAGCAATACTAGTGGGCACTAAACTGTCGGAGAAGCTGAATGCGTTGTTAAGTAACTTCATAACTTTTGTCATCGGTAAGATGCTGCATTATGTGTCTTTGGGAGGTCGATTTCATGACAGCCGCGAGCGCGTTCTTTAGAATTGTGTCACTGATGCAAGAAGATACGCTGATCGTAGCAGGCATAGTTGACGACCCATACATGGCGGACACATCGAATATTGCGTGTTTTGAAGGGTTTGATAAGTGTATGGCCATTGATGTAGCATTCGCGCATGTTCGCAAACACCTGTTCGCAAGCTGAGTCCGACCGAGCCGATCACCTCCACTTTGTCGAATCGACGATCAGCCATTAGGGTTTTGGCAGTTTTAGCCGAACTATTGCAGATGGCGCAACTATGGCCCATTGGTATTTGTCGCATACATAAGGCTAGACATCTGAATAGTTCGCAATGTCTCACATCCATCGATCTAGCCCAGAGTACATTGTATTCTAGACTCGGTCCGGGATAGGTGACAACTTCAGCCTTCTGGTCAATTGCTGGCGTCCGCATGGATCGAACAGGTTTGGGGACCCGCAGGGGGTTATGGTCGACACATTCGCCCACACGGTACAGTCGCTGTTGAGTCTTTATCCGCTCTGACTTCTGGGATACGGGATTTATCCCTTAGAACCGTCCCAAAGCGAACGAATACATGGTTCGCACACATTAGCACGTGACTGTCTGGACGCACCAGCACAAGCGTTTGCCAATATGATCGCCAGTGTCCAACTTCGTCAGAACATGGTTTTACCGGCCGCCGCAACGCCAGGATGCCGAGATCTGGTCCCGGACCCGAAGAGTACGCTCTGGCTTCTCTCATTTTGGGAATTTGGCGTTTTCTAATTTGCGACGAAAGGGTGAAACTTCAACAGTGCTGCGGTGCTGCGGGAATAGCCCATATCGTTACACGTTGTGCATACAATGTCTGGTAATTTACGGCGCGCGCATCTTCTGAAGAATCCGCGGCTTTCGTTGGAGATCGCGCGAGCCTGTGTTTAGTAGTTACTGAGCTACAAAGATCATTGTTCCACACAAAGAATGTGAACAAATAAGAGAAGGAAGCAGTTCTAGAAATAACCAAAGGCAAGCGAGCAGGAAGCGTGACGAGCCGGGCCGGGCCGAGCCACGTCAGTACGGGTCGCTCCTGTAGAATACTTAATCATAGTTCAAGCAAGAATCGCTCTCTATGTAGAATCGTTCTTGAATCGTCCAAGAATCTTGTGAACCCGTTTTTATAAAGTGTACATGGATTTGCCGATGTTAATCTGCCCTGTTTAAGCAAAGTAAATGCTTGCATATCCTTTTTTATAAAAACCATGTGGCAGAGCCATCCGCGTAAGCACATTTGACAAGAAAAGGGTGGCGGCATAGCTCGAAATCTTCTACTTAAACCGAGTTTAGCGCGTTTCAGGTTCGCCATCCCTTGGGTCTCATCAAACGACATCCTGTAAGCTCGATTTGTCTGTTTTGCTGTGCTCGCCTTGATCTTTTAGCTGAGCACATTAAGTTGCATGCATATTAATGCACACCATAAATCTGGTAACGAGGAGGGGGGGGGGCACGTCCCCACAAACCACATGAGCGTACGCCCTTGCACATAGCTGATCGCTAGTGCGGCATGCGCGTCACTGATCATAGCTGATCGGGTGCTAACTACGCTCGGCCCATTAATGGCATTGGCGATTTTTAAGGTTGCGCACTCACTGTGGCGTGACGGATCTGAGAAACCGTGCCGTTAATTTCGCTCACTACTGTAACAGCGGTTAAGTCTTGCTTTCAAAAGCGTGTACTGCAGCCGAACTTTCGTTCCCTGCTCTGTCCTTCAATTCCTCTCACCTTGTCGCTATCGAAGTCCTCTTGCCGGCGATCATCTCACTTTCATCGCGGTCCAGCCTTTGTGGGTAGCATCTCCACGGCTATTTCCTCGTGGAGCGAGTTTCTTCATTCACGACAGGATTCAGCATGAGATCTCGTCGTGCTCCAGTGTTGGTTTCCTCACCCGCTGAGGCGAGGGGCACGGTCCCACTCTCGAGAGGTGCTGAATTCTTCAAAGCAGGATGGGCCAGATTTCCCGGCTTCTCGCCCTCAGACGCTGTTCAAGGCTCTCAAAACACTCTGTCGGTTTCAGCTGACTTCTGGAGCCCTCGTCGATTTTGAAACGTTACGTGTACGATGCTGTGCGAAATCCAGGCTGAATATGAGCCCAAAGACTCAGATAAAAATTGCACGAATGCGGAAGTGAGCATCAACGAAATGAGACTGCATGTACAACGCATCGCATTCATTCACAATTTAGACGTGGTATGTTGATTCCGTTGCAACCGACGGCAGGCACTGAACAAGTGCCGGTAGTAGGTGCTGGACCGATAGCTGGCCAAAACATGCCGTCACCTTCCGGCTCAAAGATTTGCTGGCCT